CCACTGAAGCCCCGAGGAAGGGAGTGAGCTCCTTGCCTTTCTTCAGCTGCATGCCTGCTTGAGCCCTGGACCAGAGCCTTGGAAGGAGAAGCTCTCCCAAGGTCCCAGTTCTGAGCAGCATTATAGCTTACACCTACTGAGCTCAACTCAGTAAGGTGGGGTCACTGGGATTGAGAAAACATATCAAGACAGCCTTTAGTTGGGAGTGGCACCAGGCAAACCCATGAAAGGGGAGCAAGCTCCATGCCTCCCCTTAGCTCTGTAGCCATGCCCACTTGAGGCCCAGAGTGGAGCCTATGAAGGAAATGTGTTCTGAAGATCCCAGCTCTTAGCAGCCCTTCCTTCCCTCCAGAACTGAGCCCAGTATGGCAGGGCTGTTGGGACTTGGAAATACAGAACAGAACAGTGTCCCACTGGGGGTGGTGCTGGCCAAGACTGCATTTGGAGGGAAAGACTGTCTCCCATTCCAAAGCCTCACAGTTCAATGTCTGTCTGAGTATCTGCATAGTTTCTTCAGAGAAAGAGCACATCAAAGGTTCCTGTTGGATGCAGCTAACAGTCCTTTCTTCCAGACTTAAGCTCGGCAGGGTGGTGTTCCTAGCATTTGGAGGACCAGTCTAGTACACTCCCAGGCTGGTGCTGTAAGAATAGGAGTGCTCAACCCTGGGATGGTGGTGCCCGAGGGTGGTGTGGGATATTGACTCAAGACTTACACCTTAGTCGCTGACCCTCCAGATCTTTCTTTGGGGTCACATCAGTCAGATCTTCTCTTTAGGACTCCTATATACCCTGAGCTGCCTTTGCTCTACTGGGACACTAGGTGAATGCCTGAGACCAAGCTCCTGTTTGTTTGTCCTTGAAGAGGGCACCTAGTGTTTTTTCAGACTCTTTCCTCTTCCTGTGAATAGAGTATCCATTGATTTTCACTGCCAGATGCTATGCAGGCTCCTGTTCCTAATCCTGGTGCTCTGGTATAGGGCGTCCTGGCATAGAGGCACTTTTGCAGCTGAGCTACCCCTCTGGCTTCACAGCCACAATATGAAGGTGTAGCGGCCAGCCCTCTGTACATCTTTGCCCTTCTTACCAGTCTCTATGTAGCTTCTTCTATAAATCCTTGGATATAATATTCCTGTTCAGCTGTCCTTCAGTTAGTCATTTGACTGTTCTATAATTTAGCTGTCATAAATCCAATTTGGCACCAGGTGGAGGTGAGGGTATTTTCCACTTACTCTATAGCCATCTTGCAATTTCTCCAATGATGTATTTTTATGTGAACAATATATTTGAAATATAAATGTATTATTAAATAGACCATCATTGGATTTTTTTTCTTATGGTTGCCAGTATCAGTAAAGTTGTCATAGGCAACATAATTCATGAGCCTTTGACTATGGTCTATTTTATTTTTTCATATAAGAGAGATTATTAAAATTAAAAAGAATTATATGTACCTTGTCCCTGATCAGTTTAACATGTATAAAGTGTTAAGAAAATAGATGACATGAAAAGAGTCAAGACCTTATAACCAATGATCAAAAGTTAAAACAGAAGAAAGAAGATCAATAGATGACCCAGTTATTGCAATTAGCAGGCAAGATTTATAGAATTTTGTCAAAAATGAGCAAAATATTGTTAAGATACTTGAATATTTGGTGAAATAGTAGGGAACTAGGATATTGAAAATATTCAAATGCTATTATACAATTGAAATAATAATTATCTAAAAACAAGCATTTAATGGATGGGTTTAAACAATGGATTTGAAAAAACAAAGGCAGGATAAGTGAATTGAGAGATAGATTAATAAAATGGCAGAAACTGAAGTGAGAAGAGAATGGCAAAAAAATGAACATAAAACAAATGATAGGCACATTAAAAATGTATGTAAGAGTAATTGTAGTCCCAACTAGAGAAAAGAGAGAAACTGGGGCAAAAATAATATTCAAGAAGGTAATGACAGAAACCATTCCAACACTGATGAACGATGTAAATTCACAAATTTAAGAAGGTCAGAAAAACTCCAAGAAGATGTATGCAAATCAACCACAGATGGATACATGATAAGTGTTGTAGAAAACAAAAGGAAGCCATATATGAAAGGTACATTACATTCCTAGGAGCAAAAGTAAAATTTTCAAGTAAGTCAGTTTCTGATATAAAAAATAGAAGCAAAAAGTACTCAAAGAAAAATTTTTTATTGTTGTACAAGTACAACTGTCTCCATTTTTCCACCACCACTTTCCCCCAACCCACCCACCCCCATCACCCACCCTCAATCCTACCCTCCTTTGACTTTGTCCATGGGTCCTTTATACATATTCCTGGACAACCCTTCCCCTTGTTTCCCCCATCATCCCCCTTCCTTCTCCCCTCTGGTTACTGTGAGTTTGTTCTTTATTTCAGTGTCTCTGATTATGTTTTGCTTGCTTGTTTGTTTTGTTGATTAGGTTCCATTTATAGGTGAGATCAATGTGGTATTTGTCTTTCACCTTCTGGATTATTACACTTAGCATAATGTTCTCCAGTTCCATCCATGCTGTTGCAAAAGGTAGGAGCTTCTTCTTTCTTTCTGCTGTGTAATATTCCATTGTGTAAAGGTACCACAGTTTTTTGATCCACTTATTTACTGATGGGCACTTAGGTTGCTTCCAGCACTTGTTATTGTAAATTGTACTGCTATGAACATTGGGGTACATGGGTCCTTTTGAATTAGTGTTTCAGGATTTTTAGTATATAATCCCAGCAGTGGAATTACTGGGGCAAAAGGCAGTTCGCTATTTAGTTTTTTGAGGAAATTCCATACTGTTTTCCACAGTGGCTGCACTAGTCTGCATTCCCACCAATAATTTTAAGGTGGTGAAAAAATACCCTGCCAACCCAAAATTCTACACCCATGAAATTATCCTTTTAAAAATGAAGACAAATGAAATAAGAATATTTTTACATAAGCAAAACTTGAGATAATTCATCCTTGTATTCTTATACTAAAAATATTGATCAATAGTGCTTAACCATACTTCTTTTTTTAATTAAAAAACACCTTTAACTTGTCTTCTTTGAGTTTTGTTCACTGTACAAGTATTGGATAATTCAGACTAAAATTGTTTAAAAAATCACCTGTACCTTATAATCCAAATGATAGTCACCATTCATATGATTTCAGCATAGATTGATGTGATGTCTAGATAAACATATTATTTAAAAATTGCATCATATTAACTAAATGATCTGGAACATACTTGTCTCACTTCCAAATATAATGTGAATATATTTTTATCAGCAAAAAAATAAATCCATATATTATCTCTCACTTCTCTTTTATATAGTAAGTTATAGATGTGCTGTGGTTAGTATAACCTAGTATGCTCTTTAGACAACATTTGTTATATATTAATGTATTTTTTGTTTAATACTTGCTCTCTTTTTATAATTCAAGGATACTTTATTTCTTTTTCATTTTTTTCCCATTTTTGTCTTTGTTTTTTTATTGTTGTTGAAGTACAATTATCTCTATTTTCCTTCCCTGCCACCACTTTCCCCTGCCATACCCACCCCCACTTCCCACCCTCAATCCTTCCTTGCTTTGGCTTTGTTCATGAGTCCTTTATACATGTTCCTTGATGACCCTTCTCCTTCCTTCCCTCACTATCCTATTACCCCCTCCCTTCTGGTTACTGACAGTTTGTTCTTTATTTCAATGTCTGTGGTGTGTACTTTATTTGGTCTCATGTTGAATATTTTCTTTAAAAATTAACAGTATAAATAAAAATGTCATGAGCATAAGCATTAATACACTTTTGTTATGTTTTGGAATTTAAAAGAGAATAAAAATGTCAATGTGTCTGGTTCTATTTCACTTGCTTGTTCCAAATAAAGAACAAACTGACAGTAACCAGAAAGGAGGGGGGAGAGGGATAATGGGGGAAAAAGGAGGAAGGGCCATCAAGGAACATGTATGAAGGACACATAGACAAAGCCAAAGTGGGTAGGCTCGAGGGTAGGAGGTGGGGTGGGTGGGGTGGGGGAGTGTGGTGGAGTGAAAATGGAGACAACTGTATTTGAAAAACAATAAAAAAAATTAAAAAAGAGATGATACAATAATTAATAAATAACACAAGAAAAAAATAAAATGAATAAACACATATTTACATAAATACTCATTTATGCTAAAATTATACTAATAAATATATTGAATAAAGTATATATAAGATATCAATGAATGTTATAACTTATATAAGAGCAAAAATATAAAGATAGATATGACATAGGGATGAATGACTAGAAAAATGTTCTAATGATAGGAATAAAACAAGTTCAGCAATTCAAAGCATAGAATACCATAGTATAGGTCAACAATTTTCCAGTGAAGGCCAGTCCCCACTTCATTGCATTCTAACCTTCAGTCTAGAAGTAGAGAGATGAACTGATCCAGTTGTAAATTCTATGAATGATATAAGACCCCAGAGAGACTGATAGCTAATAGCTTATTCAAGACTTTGCAAGAAACATTTACCAACACATTACGAATCAATTGCTCTAAGAAAACAAGACACAGAGACATTTGACTTGTATCTACACTGTACCCTCCACATCCTGATAAAAAAAAGTAACCTCAAGCATTGTAAGACTAACAGAGAAAAGTATAAGGTTAGATTCTGTCATTAAGGTCTTTTCTTTCCTCTGGTAGCTGTCAGTTTGTTTGTTCCCTGTTTTCCTGTCTCTGGTTCTGTTTTCCTCATTAGTTTGTTTTGTTCATTAGATTCCTCTTATAAGTGAGATCATATGGTATTTGTCTTTCACTAATTGGCTTATATCACTTAGCATTAATAGTCTCCAGTTTCAGCCATGCTGTCACTGGACAGAGGAGGGAAAGGGGGGGGGAACTGGGACACTTTTAATAGAATAAATAAGAATAAAAATAACTAACTAACTAAATAAATAAGTAAGGAAAGAAAGAAAGAAAGAAAGAAAGAAAGAAAGAAAGAAAGAAAGAAAGAAAGTCATTTTTGTATTGGAAACAAGAAAGAAACTACCAGGTCCCGAATCTGCTTGGTCTTAATCCCATAAATAATGGGATTTGACATAGGTGGAATGAGAATATACACACTGGCCAGCAGAACATGAATATGGAGTGCAATGTGGCGTCCAAACCGCTGAGTGAGGACTGAGAAGATCCCAGGACCATAAAAGAGGATGATGACACAGACATGGGAGCCACATGTGTTGAGAGCTTTGTGGCGAGCATCTTGGGATGGGATGTGAAAGACAGCATGGAGAATAAGCACATATGAAACAAAAATTAGCACAACATCTAAGACTAAGGTTGATATTAGGACAAAAAAACCATACCAGATATTTACTCGTATGTCATTACAGGAAATTTTGGCCAAAATAATGTGCTTACAAGTAGTATTTGGGAGGATGTTACTTTTGCAGAAAGTCAGTCTTTTCAGAAGAAATATCACGGGGAATATTGTACAGTAACTTCTCAGAAAGATGACAGCACCAATTTTCCCAATCAGTGCCTGTGTAAGAATGGTGGTGTATCTCAGTGGGTAACATATGGCAATGTAGCGATCAAATGCCATCACCAGCAAGATCCCTGACTCACAGACGAAAGTGGAAGTGAGGAAGAATATCTGAGCAATGCAGCGACTCAGGGAGATCTCTCCAGCATTGAACCAGAAGATGGCCAAGTCCTGAGGTACTGTGCATGTGGAGAGGATGATGTCAGTTCCAGCCAGCATGCAGAGGAAGAGGTACATGGGTGCGTGGAGGCTGTGCTTGGTGACAATAATGAAGATGAGCAGACTGTTCCCAAGCAGGGTGATGACATAGGAGATGAAGAAGGGGATGGAAATCCACATGTGTTTGTCCTCAAGGCCAGGGATGCCCAGCAAATAGAAGACAGTGTGGCTAACACCAGTGTGGTTTGAGGTAGTCATACTTGTGTGGAAATCTTTTAAGATCTTACCACCTATATACAGAGGCAGAAAAAAATTCAGATTTTATATATGTCTATATTTTTCTCTTTGATATTGCCAGGTGCTTTTGGTACCTACATGATCCTATTTCATTGTGAGGATGTCAGGAGTTACAACGCATATAGATAAACAAATAAATAAGACATGATTTTTGAATGAGGTCTTAGTCTCACTAATAAGATAGACCCTTATACAAGTACAGAAAATTAAATGATTAAGTTAATGATTAACATCTTTTTGGTACTAATTAAACTGATATAAAATAAACTGAATACAATGGAAGGGTTACTTCAGTATGTACTTGTGTTGGTTTTAAGAAGTTATTTTTGAGCTTACTTTTGAGGATAGTTTAGGATGGCAGTAGTTGGTGGGAGTACCAAGTACAGAATGAAGCTAGGTCATTTGGGAATTTAAGGAGAAATGTTTGCCATGCAAATACCAAGTCAGTTTAAAGCTGCTTTCAGATCTGTGTGTGTGTGGCAATGTAAATTTGGGTAATTGGAGGAAAGATGGTAGCCAAAGCACAGTTGCTCAGAATATAGATCCTGGACTTTGTCTGTGAGTGAATGGTCATCCATGATGAGTTAAGAAACTGGAGAACAATTTAGATATACTGTATTAACCAGTCAGCCAGTGGAAGATAGTTTGAAAGGGAGAAAGATGACAAAGTCTGGAATGTCAGGACACTGAAATTATTGTATTATAGACTAATATATTGATCAATTGCAATCACAGTGAAATAGATAGGATAAGCTTTTTTTTAAAAAATCTCTATGTTAGAGACTAATGTAATGCTACCTAAGGTACTTCATTACTGGGTTCTAACAACACAGGCAAGTAGGTGTTTTCACCACTAATTTCTGCAAATAGTACATTTAGGCTCACTAATCTTGCCACATCTCTAAGAATATAGCCTTGACTTGGAAATTCTAAGAGAGTAATACATATGTTTTTATCTCCTGTGAATAGGTTAAGGAACAAAAGACTTTTCTGAACTGAATGAAACTGAGAAGTCTTGAGACCAGTAGGTAGTGGGTCAGGGGAGGAGGAGAACAAAGGTGTTTCCTGAGCAGGTAGTGATGTCCTATCCTTTCAACTACAGAGTAAACAAGGATAATACAACATGGGTTTTATATTGTTTATGTTTAAACTCCACCAATATTTGATGTGTTTCCTTATCAGTGCCTCTGTATGCAACAGTGATGAGATTCTAATAATATCTGAAACATTTGTGGACCAGGTCTCCAGGCCACTGAAGGCTGAGAAATTCATAAGTAGTTCTGTTATCCATCATACTAGTACTTCACATACTGGGTGAAAATATGGAAGGAAGGCTAGTCAGCCCAAATTCTAAGAACTGATGGAGAAGACAGAAAAAAGGTTAAGCTGTTTCAGAATCTAAAAGAAATCATATGTCTAGTGAGCCCAGGACTCATTATTCCATTGAATCAGCCAGCACTGGTGTTTGTAAAAAGAAATAGTTTATACTATGAAGACCAAACTCTAGGATTTTCCCTCTTCCATGCCCGCTCTATATGTTGAACTTGATTGACACCCCAATCTCCATTCTCAGGAGAGGAGCTTAGTGCAACACTCAGGTTGTGAGAAGTTCAGGGGCCCATGACATCATGAAGTACATAACAGCTTTCAAGTTCTCTGCATGATTGAGGATCTAGCACATAGTGTTAACATAATCATTTGTTTTCTGCCTTTCCAAGTTTGATTCCCTTCACTCTAAATTTAATTTCCAGAGTAGGAAATTCTACTCCTATTTTCATTCCTGTATTACTTTCTAAGTAATAGTTAAAATTGTCTTAAAACCAAAACCATGATATGGGAGTTCAGTAGAGACATCTGAGAGTGCCTACTGTGATCAGCAACTGCCACCAACCAGGTCAGCCTCTGGCCTCTCAACCACTTGAGAATATATAGTGCCCTGAGGAAGGCCATCTTCCTGGGAGAGATGGAAGAAATTGAAATGGATGTGACAATGCCATTGGGAGCTAAGGGCTAGGTGTATGTGTCTTATGTCAACAAAGTCAAAACAGGAAAGGTGATTAAAATGAAGCAATGTAAATGTTAAGTAACTAAAAAGAGAACCAGCTTACAGATGAGAGTAGACATTGGATAATTCGGGAGTAAAGAGAATTTTTCTTCTGGGAGGCAGAGGAGAGATGCTAAGGAGTTCAGTGCTTGGGTAAAGTTGTGAGTACTTTAGTTTCTTGTTTGCTAATCAAATTTAAAACAACTTCTCAAATACCTCATGAGTGTCTTCTCAGTCTTGATTCAGGTATCTTCAGCATCCTGGAGGATTTACTTGTTTCTCCTTTCTGTGTTTGCAAGAGTATTACCAATATTCAGGGTGCTTTTCACCATCTGCACACTAAGCCAGCAAGGTACTTGTGTGAATCTTTTCCCCACACATCTTCTTTCCCTCTGATTGCACAAAGAGTCTCATCACCAGAACATCAGTCTCAAGGGTAGGAGCACATTTGATTATCTGGCAATGTTTCCCCTCTTGATTTTAAACTTTCTGGGGTCTAAGGATTGTTTTGCTTGTCTGTGCAGTTACAGATCTGAGCACACCTAGGCAAAATATAGCCCCTCAAAATGTTGAACAGAACCACCCAATTACAAATATTGGTTGGGTGTGCCAAAGTATCAGTGCAGAGTATCCATAAATAAGCCTCTTTAAGTAGTAAGGGTCTGGGGTCAATGTTGAACCTTCTCAGGAAGGGCTTAGGGATCCTTGGAATACTGAGAGCTAATGAGGGTATTCATTCCTAGAGTCTTCCCACTCTCTTCTCCCAGATAGCAGTTTCCATTCTACTGGAGATAACCCATATTTATGACTGTGGTTCAGTGGTATGCTGGCAATGCAGCTCAAATGCACATACTTTAAATACACATGTAAATACAAAGTCCTGATTGTTAGTATTTGCCAATTTCTGCAGTGGTGTTCTCCTACCATGGTCTCTTCCCAGGTAGCAACATGATGCCTGTGAAGGTGGAGTTTGCAAGGAATGGGCACAAATGAGCCAGTAAAGGTGGCTCTAGCACACAACTGCTTTTGTCTCTCCAATTCTGTCTATTTAACTGGAGACAATGGTCCTGATATTTTCAACCACCTACCTTGGGTCCTGTAACATCTAGTCTGGATAGGGCATTCTTGCCTGAAATTTCATCCCACAGAAAGAAAACAAATTCACTCACCTGCTTTAAATGGACTTCTCATATGCTAGGATGGGATGAATCACAATAGGACTGTCAGAGAGATTACTACCAGGGTCCTGAGATTTTATGCATTTGCCTGAAATCCTCAGGGACAGTATTACTTCAGGGAGTCCAGTTTAGAGGTGTCTTTTCAACATTTTTATCCTACACATGTGGATCAGGTCATTATGGCTCTTCAAGTCTGACTAGCCCACTCTTTCCTCTATACATCCTTTGATTAGTTGAGCTCATTTACTTATTTATAATAAATTGATAGCATTACCATATGAAATATTCTGTTTTTATTTTAATGGGAATTCGTAAATATTAATTCTGTTTTTAGTCAGTACAACTTGAAAATAAACATTATAACAAAAGCATTTTTTTAATGTAGACAAATGAACTAAATTTATACCACATTTGTCAAGTCATTCAAACTTTGAGATTTCTAATAAAAATGTTTTAAGTACTTCCATGAAAATACTTGAATGTATTTTGAAATGTATACTTGGATTTCTTATGTGAATGAAGGTCAACTATGAAAAACATTCTGTATCCTCTTTTCCTTTGGCTACCAAATGATCTACTTTAATTTTCATTCATCTTATGCAATAGAACTCTGCTTCTGATAAACCTAACTCTTCCTTTTTGTATATGTATATATTTTCCTTTTTATATTTTCTTTTTATTTAATTAATCCAAGTAATTCTATGTATAAATATTTATAAAGGATAAATAACTTTATGCCTAAGAAATATCTTTTTGTCTGTGTATTATATTAAAACCACGGCATTCTAGTGAAAATGATATAAGAAGGTGATTCAAAATTCTACTTCCACTTAACTTATAAAGAACTTAAGTAAAATTTTTTCACTAGTATATATTTTAAGAAAATTAATTATAACTATCCCTGGCTGGTGTAGCTCAGTGGATTGAGCTTGGGCTGCAAACCAGGCATTGCAGTTTCGATTCCCAGTCAGGGCACATGCCTAGGTTGCAGGCCATGGCCCCCAGCAACCACACATTGATGTCTCTCTCTCTTTCTTTCTCCCTTTCCTCTGTAAAAATAAATAAATAAAATCTTAAAAAGAAAAGAAAATTAAATATACCAAAAATTTGCAAAAATATTACAGTGAAAACCCATTTAACCTTCATCTAGAGTTACCCATTATTAACACTTTGCCATTTTCTTTTTGCTCTCTGTTTTTCATTTTCCTTGCATATATTATATATTATTATCACTTTTTTTCTCTTTTTATTTATTCATTTGAGGGGGGCGCATCCATTTGTTGTCCCACTTATCTATGCATTCATTGGTTGCTTTTTGTATGTGCATGCCCTGACCTGGGACCTAACCCACAACTTGGCTTTTCAGGATTATACTCTAACCAACTGACCTACCCAGCCAGGGCATTATACTTTTTTTTTTTTGGTGAACCATTTGAAATAATTTGCAGATGCTATTACCTTTGACTTTAAATATTCAGCATGTATTTGTTAAGAAGAAGGAAAACCTCTTATACCTCTTACATAACCATAGATCAGTACACAATTCACAATATTTAACATTGATACAATATCACTATCTAACATTCAGTCCACATTCATAATTAATATGGTCAGGATTCAATCATTTACAGCAATGATTTTTTTCCAATCCTTAAACACGATGGCATTTATTTGTTGTATATTTTTGTCATGGATCTGTATTCTCTCTTTCTTTTTTTTTAATTTCTCCCAACTTTATT